TCGAAAAAGGATATGAAAAATCTAAATATTTTACGATGGGAAAGTTAGTGCCTTGTCTATTTCAACATGATTCCTTATCACAGTCGAAGTAAGTCAAAAATTAGAAAAATTCGTGTACAGAAAGAATCTAAGATAAAGTATAATAAGAGATTAACCACAAAAAGAGTGCAATCTGTTTTTTTTATAAAGAAAAGATTCCGGAAGAAAAAAAAAGTTATAGAAAATTACTATATTTATTAAAATCACATGGCAGTTTTTATACCAAACTTTTATGAAATTTCAAAATTTTGAGTTTATTATATCCAGAGTCGACTGTACATAATTTATTGAAGAACGTCACAAAAAACAAACCAAATGGTTTAACAAATAAGCTAAATTCAAATGATTAAACAGAAATAAACAAAACTAAAGTTATGTTTTTAGAATGTCAAACTTCAAATTATTTGTAATATTTTATATGTTTCTATATACATTGTAAATTGCATTAAATATTACTTTATATGATCGTCATTTAATGAAAAATAAATTAGAAAAAAAATAACCGAAGACTTAATTTCCAGTCCGATTCCAACCTGGTACAGTACACATTTTCTGGGTGCGGCAGGGTAAGTATTATAAATGATATGTAATGAAACTAAAGAATACTTTTAATTTAAAATAATAAGTTATCGCAAGTTTTTAATAATAAATCTTACCAAGCAAGCTGTATCAAAACAACTTAAAATGGTTTATTACATTGAGTATATTCAATAGATGTATTAATAGAAAGAACGTATTTTTGCTTCTCTATCTAGAAACGTACTGAAATATCCACAAATTTAAATACCTTTCATGTATTATCAACCTATTTTATTACACTTATATAATAATACAAATTGAATGCCTCCAATCTATCCCTAACCCTTGTTATAAATTAAAATTAATCTTGGACAATATTATTCATTTTATAATTTCAAATTTAACATACCTAATTTGATCAAGTATTTAGATCAAGTATTTAGATTGTTTGGGGCAGGGTTGGCAATGGAGTTCAATGGAGACCAATGAAGCCCAATGGAGCTGCGAATGGAACCAATGGAGCTCTGAATAGAGCCAATGGATACTAGTTTTTTGAGCTCCATTCGCATAACCATTGGACTCCTTGGTTCCATTGCCAACCCTGGTTTGGGTACCTTATTTATATTAATATTTCAACCTTGTATTTATTTTTGAATAAGTAACTTGGTTATATTTATTATAAAAGGCAAATATAATTAATAATACATGATTTTTATATTATATTAATAATTCAACCAATAAGATTACGAATGTGCTTTAGCATTTTGTATTCTAAAATTTGGAAAAAAAATTATATAAGTAATAATATTGATTATTGACTGCCAGGCATTAAAATCACATTTTTATGTTTGCGCTTATAACAAACAATTGCACCTAAAATTGTCCATCCCAAAATGCTTAAAATTGAAACTGTGCCAAGACCTATTACCAAATTTAAGTTGTTAAAAGAATTAAAAGGTGTTGTATTAAAAGAATTGGAAGATGTGGGACTAATTGGTAAGAAAGTTGAAATAGTGGTTGGAGTAGTGTTATTTTTATTATATTGAATTCCCATACAATCAAAAGATGTAAGTTTAGAAGTAATGTTCAAAGGCACCAAAGTGATGGGATTATTTGAACAATTTAATTCTTCCAAGACATTGTTTGAGATATGTATTGTATTTATTAAATTATTGCTACAATCAAAATGAGTAAGACTTGGAGTGTTAAGATTATAAATAGATATCTTATTAAATGAGCAATTTAGCTTTTGTATAGCGGAGGAAGAATATGTACGAGTACCAGTAAGTAAATTGTGAGAAACATCAATTTGTTGAATAGAAGGTAATCCCGTATAATGTGCATTAATTAACATATTAAAAGAAATATTTAGTTTAAGAAGATTAATAAACCCGCTATTGTTAAATCTTATAATTCCTTCTAGGTTTTTATTACTTAGATCCAACTCAGTAATATTACCACGACTTGTGACAGGATAATTCTCATCTATATATTGCTGTACATTTACCATTATGTTGTTTTGTTTACAAGTTTCAAGATAATTTAATATCAGATATCAGAATAATTTGAGAATTAAGATTACGATGAAATTTGAAATTTAAATATTTTTCGGAGATTTAACATTTGATATCTATCTATACTTATTTGAAATCTTCACAAGCACAGACCCAAAACAGGAATATTCTATATAAATCAGGCAGATAATGTTTATGTTTTGAACCTGTGGAATGTCTATTCTCTTTCCATATGAGTGCCGTCAATGGTAAGCAGAATTTTGGGCTTTTAAGTTTGCTAGATTCAGCTCATGAAAAATCTGATCAGCAACGCGTATAATATGCAATCGTGTGTCATATATATTTCAGTCAGGTTTTTCAAAGGCAGAATCTGAAAAAAAATAAAATTGAAAGCTCGAACCTTCATTTTTCTCTGGTATGAACGTACGTACGTACGTACATACTTACAATGGCGTCATATTTATAGAAATTTGTGATATAAATATGTAATACAGATTTGTGTCACAACTATATAGGTCTATAGCGCTAAATTATCGCGCAAAACCGGGAATGGACGTCGTACGTACGTACGTACATACTGTCACAAATCCATAATTTGTGGCGTTAGAGAATTTGATTTTCTTTCATTTTCTTTCCCGATTTGTCTTTTCTTATTTAGTGTAAATAGATTTA